ACCTTCCCAAAGCCCTACACTGAAAGACAGAGGACAGTGTCAGATGGAAACCAACATCCCACTCTTAATTGAGAAGGCAGATCTCAGGATAAGCACAAAGAATCTCCAACACATAGAAGATAGCCATGAGGAACAGACTCTTCTGTGTTTCTGTGGCTCTGACAGCAGTGATAATGCTACCTATTATCAACTTGAAGGTCTCTTGTCAGCATTTCTTCTAGGACAGGTCTAGATATAAGAAACTCCCTCAGATTTTGCTTAGAAATATTTGATTTCTTTCCCATTTTTGAGGGACAACATAAACTAATATTAAATTCTCAACAAAAAAAAGTTTTTGTTTTTTGACAGGCTTTTCCTTTTGGTATATATGTATCATCACACTGCCTTCTAGGCTGCAAAGTCTGCTGAAAAATCTGCTGTTAAATTTTGTCTTGCTACTTTTAAGATTTTGTTTTTGATTTGTGACTGATTATAACATATCTTGGTGTGGATCCTTTGGGTATACCCTACCCAGATTTTGACTTTTTAACTTACCATACCAATGATTTCCTTCAAATTTGGGGAAGTTTTCACTAATTCTTTCTTTCAACAATCATTTTCTCTTTTCTCTCTCTTCTGAGAACATTATAATATATAAACTAGTTCATTTGATTTTTATCTCAAAAGTCTTTTTGGGTGTGTTTATTATTATTTTTTTCATTTTCAGATTTGATAATTTCAAATAATTAGTCTTTAATCTTGATTATTTCTCCTGCCTGTTTGCGTTTGCGTGAAACCCCTCTAGTAAATTTTTCAATTCCAAAACTTCTGTATTAAATTTTGTTTCCTAAGTCTACTGTCTGATTTCTTCAAGGATAGTTTCTAGAGATTTTGTTACCTTAAATAGGTCCCATTTTCCTTTTATAACTATTACAGAAAATACTCGATATTGTTGAATACTTGTAAAGCATTTTTAAATGACCATAAGTTTTAATAGAAATCATAAAATGCTAGATCCCATAAACCTAATCCCCCCCAAATGTGGTCCCATAACTTTTAATAGACAGTATAAATGCTAGATTCCACACTCTCCCTAATGTGGTCGTTATTGACAAAGTACTATTTGGAGAAACAGCCACCTCTACTTATGTTAGTTTACACAAACTAACATAGAAGACCTTCACCAATTATCAGTGTTAACCTTAAACCTTAGTAGTAGCTTAGGCTGCAGGCTTCAAACTGTCTCAGTTCACTTGGGGATACATATCCTGCTGGGGGTGGTTGGGTGTGTGTATGTATACATGTATGCATTTTGATCTCTCTATATACCTGACTGCTTTTAAATGTCATAACTTTGTGCTTGCTTCAGCAGCACATATAGTAAATGTCATAACTTCCCAAAGAATTTCACACCAGATTCTTCTCAAGGCTTTAGGTGTTATGTTACATTCTTCTTCCCTAACCCTTACCCAGGTGTCCAAAGTTATACAGCCCCACTGCAGCTTTCATGCATTACAGAGTTCACACCTGGCCTTGACAGCTTCTACCAGCGTGAGAGTCAAGCCATGTACTGAGTCACCTGAGATAGAAGTTAGTTCTTAGTGAGACCCAGACAGGTCAAAGGCTGCACATCGATTCTGCACTGTGGCTTTTGGCCTGCAGGAAGCACCAGAATATGTCACCTACTCTTGGCTGAAAGGTACATAATGAGTAAAAAGCATTACAAATGTCTCAGTTTTAAAAGGCCTGAATTTCCCATGGTTTGAAGTTTTTGACTGGGACCTCACCTGGCCACTGGAAATCTTTAGTTTACTGAGCTCATATGAAGTTTTTTGGTCAGTCTCCAGTTGCTTTTCTACTGCTACCAAAAGGGCATGAAAACTTGGATATTCTCTAGTTCACAATTCCACTAATATCACCCTTTTATCATTAAGTGAGTCATATAAAAATAACCTCAACATTTCTATGTGGCTAGATGCTTGTTTTTTTTTTTTTTAATTTTTTAAGGAGAGTAAATTAGAAATAAAATGGAAAAAAAATACAAGCAATACACAATTTCACACTATTCGTTGTAATTCATGGTGTCTTCCAACTAATTATTCATGTTACCAGATATATGCGTGTAAAATTGGAAGAAAGAAAAAGGATATGTATAAGAAATTAAGAAGAGAAAAAGTAGAAAAGTTTTGTTTTTTATTGGAGTAATGAAATCCATGAAATCTAGTTTTTGTGATTTCTATAAAAATGTATGATCATTTTTAAAAATGATCTACAAAAAATATTTTAAAATATCAAGCATTTTCTATTGTAATAAAGTAAAAAAAAATCTTCCCAACTAAATTTTATATTTTCAAACTTCTATGTCTTTTTATTTTACATATATTTTCTAATAAATATAAATCTAAGCCTAACTTTTCTTCTTCATCCCCCTTCTTCTTCTGGTAGAGATCAATTCATTCATATTCATGTTTACATTTATTTCTGACATTTTTTTTTTTTTTTTTTCTTGGTACCAGGGATCGAAATCTGGTCCTTGTGCTTGGAGGCAGGAACTTAAACTGCTGAGCTATCTCTCTATCCCTCTGACACTTTATGTTTCGCATTTGCTATGCTGAGTTCCTTCTCCCCCTGACATCTCAGTATTCCCCATCATTTACTAAATTCATCATATTTCACATTTAAAACTTTTGGCTGTGACAATTAATTCACAATGTTTCTCCAATTAAAGATAAGGATTACATATCAGTTACTTTGGGTATTTTTAAAATTTGTGATGAAATATACATGTATAAAATTTATCATTTTAATTTTTTTAAGGGTACAGCTCACAGCATAAAGCAAATTCACATTGCTTTGTAACCATCACCAGTGTCCATCCTCATACATTTTTCATCATTCCAAAATTAAACTCTGTACCCATTACACAGTAACTGTCAATTCTTCTCTCCTCCTTTTCCCTGTTAACAACTATTTTACTTCTCATCTCTTGAAGTTGACTATTCCAGATAGCTCATGTAGATAAAGTCATAAAATTATTTGTTCTTTTATTTTTGGCTTATTTCTCCCGGCTTGTCTGTTTTAGCATGTATCAGAATTTCATTCCCTTTAATGGTCAACAAATATTCCATTGCATACATATGCCACCTCTTCATTTAGCCATTCATTACTCAAAGGAGGTAATAGGACATTTCCATGTCTCAGTTACTGCAAATACAAATGCTATGAATGTTGGTAACAAGTATCTGTCAAAGTTTCTCATTTCAATTCTTTTTGGTGGTACCCAGAATAGCAGCAGAACTGCTGGATCATATGATAAAAGAGATTTCATTTTTTTGAGAAACCACTGTGGCCATACCATCTCACATTCCACCAGCCGCAGCACAGGGGGCGAGTACCCAGGAAAGAGCC